GAAAACATCTGCCAGCATCTATACTGTAGCTTCTGTCAATGCGATGATTCAGCACTATTTCATAAGAATACATATAAATAACAATAAAACCAGGTCACAGCAGTGCAGGTGAGTAATCAGCAGGTGAAACTGGTGAGATCATGTCCTGCTTCTTCAACGTGTTAGTACTAACTGTAGGAGGCGGGAATCAGGGAAATACAAAAAATACAATAAACACAACAATATCTTCTTCAGTAAAGAGAAAAAAAAGCCCTGAATTAAAGGAAAAGTGTCTCCATATTATACACACACTGGTTTTTGTGCAGCTTTCATTAGGACTTGGCATTAAGTTCCATTCTTTGTGGACAGCCTAACCAAAGCCTTATCCCTTACCTTAACCACAGCCATGACTAACCCGAACAATAACCTGAGCACGAACGCACGCACACGCACGCACAAGCACGCACACTCACACACACTCACACACACACACCTGTGTCACATTGCCAGAGATGTAATTGATCAATAGAAGTACTGTTTATTAAAAAGAAAATTGTCACATATCAATTATTGACCTTAGCTATCAAAGCTTAGGATAACGCTAGGTCTCTGATTTTATGCAGTTTACTAAACTAGCTGTCAAAATGTTATAGTAATGTATTCATTAACATTTCCACTGCAGCATCACAGAGGGAAACAATAATTAGGTCCCAGCAGATGTCTTAGAAGGCAATCACTGATGACTTTTCTGCAGAGAACACTGTAAAAGAGTGACTGTAAAAATAGAACAAATGGTGGAGGAGCCAAGTTAAATTGGAGACAGTTATACATTTTAAATGCTTACTGTGCCTTATAAAAACAATAGAACAGTAGTTTTGTAAGTCAAACTTTAGCCTGAAGGTGAAATTTTTGTGGATTTTGTTTGTTGATTTAGTTTTGTTCCTGATTGTATCCTGTATGCCATTATTCACAGAAGTTGAGTAATTCAGTATGTTGGTAAACAAGGTGCTATAATGATTATGTTTGCTGATTTGTAACTGATGCGTGGAGTAGCAGAAGGATTCTGCCCGAGGCTCTGGAAAGTACGGGGCCACCCCTGGGGATCGGTCTCCTGCCACAAGCTCAACCTGAGCCCCTGTGCTGGAGTCGGGGTCTGGCGGGAGGCCTGGTTGCTGTGATGAGCCAGATGTGGCACTGGGAGCTGTGGGGATTCTCCGCAGCAGTTTAAAAATGTTATACCCTCTCAGTCTACTGTTTGCATTCATTATTAAAATCAGCACTGGATGATGTGGTTTCTGGAAGGGAAAAAACTCCCAAAGATCTCTGCTGCATTAGTGGATATCCAAAGGTAACAGCCATAGTACAACAGTCTGTCGTGACTGTAAGGTCATTAGGATAATTAGCTCTTTATCTGAGAGGGTATGAAATAATAAGAGAAACATAAGGGATGTAGAATTATTAATAAAGAGGAGTAGAGGGCGAAAATGTCCTTGGAAGATCCAAAAAAATGCCTGTGAAATTAAAAATGAAAGGGCAAAAACTGCCCTTGATGACTATTCTCATTATTTCACTGAATTGTTAAATATTCAGTCTTTAATGATTCCCAGGAGGTCACCATTAGTGATAGGAAACTATGAGTAAGGGATTTTCTTTACCTCTCTGGGTGGAAAATGTTGCTCCAAAGACATTATTAACATCTGATATACTAGTTTTATATATGATTTGCGGATGTGAAACCAAAACATTCAGCTGAAAGATGCTAAAATGCTGCAGAATTGTGTGATATATGCCTTATGTGGCAGAGTTCACGTTACATTTGACCAATTGCTAACTCGGTAGAGTGTAGAACTTCCCCAAGGCCCAACAGTCCTCTTATAAAACCATATTGAAATTCACTAGAAACAGATTTTTATTTGAATAATGAATGTCTTTGTGAACCTGCCTTCATTTGGCTGGAGACCATCACACTGTATACAGCGCTTTCCCTAAGCACAGCACAAGAATCATGTGTGAGCAATCGAAGGAATGAATAATTGAGAAAACATACAGAGAATCGTGCACATAGACAGAAATAGTAGCATCTAGTAGCACTGTCAAATTGGCCCAAAAGGAAGTTTGTTAGAATTTGTCCTACTTAAACACATACTCCAACCATTTGAATATCTATTTCTGTGCATCATGTCGATAAAAGGGTAAACAGTTAATAAATACATGAGATGCATCAGTTCCTGACTATAATACCCAGCAGCCACTTCCCAGCAGTAATGCCTATAAGAGGTTTCTGGTTCAGCACAAGAGCTCATAGATATTTATTAAGAAGATTGAGACCAACTTTCAGGTCATTTTCTCAACAAACATCAATCTCTGTCTGGTTATTGCTCATTTAGGTTAATGAAACCTATGAATCTTCCCAATACTATTGATAAAAACCTGTCTGACTGCAGCCTGGCTCCGACCGTACCGCCTGCACACTTCACAGATGGAGAGAGGAAATGGCAACAAAATGAAAAAGTGGGGCAGAGAGATCACAACAGCTGAAGGAAATGACGGACACACAGGCTGGAAGATGACTTACTGTAGAAATTGACTGATTAACTAAGATGAGTCCATCCTAAGGCTGATATAATGATGGTTCACTGCTTGAAATCCATTATGATCACAGAAGACTGCATTTGTCCTTCCATTAAAGCTCTGATCCTGCACCCTGCACCTAACACGTTACGACAGCTTGGAATTTTTCCACTGAGTGCCTTGTCTTTCCTCTCACGTCTCCCGTGGATGTGTCTGAGTCGCCGTTTACTATTTGGCGTGTCCATTTAATGTTGTTGCGCCGACCTATACTCGATTTCTATACATTATCTGTATTTTTAAGGTTAGAAGCGATAACGTCTTGAGACAACGAGTGCTAAAGGAGGATGACATTTCGTGAGTAAGAGGTCGTGAAAAAACATGTGAGGGGAAGAGAGGGGGGGAAGTAAAGAGGAAGAATTTGATGAGCAGAAAGACGGATGGAGACAAAGAGGAATGAGTGAGCGTGAGAGAGATGAACTGAGGGTGCAGGGCTGAGCTCGACTGTTGGATCCAGGCATTATGACACATCCCTCTATACTGCACTGCCTCCCTGCATGTTCACTGCAGATTTTCATTAACCTTGCGGCACCATCTATTTGTGTTGCTAACCCCGGTCCATACCGTCTCATCCTCCCACTGCACACTGCTCTGCAAACTATACTGCAGCATAATGTGCTGCTGCCTTATCTGAATTTCATGACCAAACTTCCCACATAGCGTGCATGCCAGGGTGATAACACGGAGCGGCTGAAATCCATATGATGCCCACTTTCAGAATATGGTTTGCAGTTGGTGAGTGTTTTCTGTGTCTGTCGATCCTAAACCCATATTTGAGAACACTTTGCCGAAAATTTTTTTTGTTTTTCATTCTTGTCATATACAGGAGGAATGAAAACTAAACATATACAGTGCTATAAGCAATATGTTACTTTGGCCACTAGGGGTCTCTTAGTCAAGACAATAACACAAGACCTAGTTTGACGATGTCGTGAAGCAGGGTGGGATCATGGGAACTGTTGTCTTCACCGCCATTGTCCATGAAAATCTACATAATGTGACTCGTAAAAATAACACATTATAAAATGTGAGGTTTTCTCGATTCAATTTAATTTGCGATCTTAGAAATACTGTTTATCATTTTTAGGTGGGAGTTGGGGGTTATTCAGAATTGATGTTTCAATCTTTGAGACTCGGCTTAAATTCCACTAAAAATACATCAAAACCAAAGGAAATAGGCAGTGACCTCAACCCCCATAATGTTCAACCCAAAGCTCCATCCTTAAAGGTGGGTCTGGTCGTTTTTAGACTATTTAATGAAGCACAGTAACATATTATATCTGTAAAGTCTGATGGTCATTCCTACTGAAAACCAAGGGTGATCGTTTCCTGCTCTGTAAATATTCACTCATTCAACCTTTTAGGCAACCGAACACATCTTTACACAGTGAATTATCCATTTCTGGGTCACCATTATCACAGATGTCTTAGTGAACCATGCAGTATGTGCACTCAGGTTGAGCCCTTACAACAACAACACGCAGCGTGGATAACAGCGGCAGCAATAACAATGAGGGTGGGAGGTGGACGGGGAGCAGGAAGGGCAAGGACATTCAGGACGAGCATGAGACCGGCTCATTACAGTTGACAGTGTTATGGTCGCCTATTCTCATTTTAACAGAGCAAATGTATAACATCGGTGCTTCGGCCACAGTGTCAATGCTGCAGCTGCTGGAAATGGTTGGGTCGTGATGTGGGGGAGCGCAATCTTTAGATCAGTCAGTGTAATGAAATCGTTACCGGGAGGAGGAGGAGGAGGAGGAGGAGGACACTAGAGCTTGGTTAAATAGTCTGAGTCAGGCAGCGCAGTGACTCGATGAAGGGTAATAATGTCTTGCTCTGGGTTATGTCCGGTGTTTGTTTAACCTTGTGGGTGTTCACAGGATATCCACCAGAGTCACGTAACAACGACACCAGCAAAACATCCAGACAGAAGTTCCTTTAACCTCGGATATAAACCACTTTATAACATTTTAAACTACAGCATATTATACACTGAATCCATGTATATCCACTATATAGTTTTAACTAACACAGAAGTGGAGCCAATTGCTTATTCTCCTTTTGAATTAATTTCATCCATCAATGAGCTGAAACTGGCAAAACCACTTGTTATCCACAGATAAGCCTTCTGACCGGTGGTGATTGACAGCACCCATTAGTTTTATACATGCACAATTATATCTGTGCATTAACCTTTCAAGGTTGTTGCCGTGCTGCTGGGGAAAGCACCCAGCCACGGTAAGACACACCCCGCTGCACAAATACATCACAGGCGTATACAGTGCACGAGAACTCTGAGTCACTGCCTCGCCGCTTTTACGTCAATTTCTTTTTCTATTTTTTTCTTTTTTTCTATTCTGTTCATGAAATAATAAAGTATATATACGCACCTCCTCCCATTGATGTATGTATCTGATGAGTCGGGACAGTCTTAACAGACGCAGGAGGCTGAGGATCTTGGTGAAGCGGACGATTCGCAGGGCGCGGGCCGTTTTATAAACCTCCGAGTCAAAACCTTTCTCAACTATTAAAAAGATATAATCCACTGGAATGGAGGAGAGGAAGTCCACAACGAACCAGCTCTTCAGGTAATTCATCTTGATGATCTTGGGGTCGAGAATGATCTCGGAGCTCTCCTCGTTGACGATCCCCGTCCTGAAGTTCATGACCAGGTCCACGAGGAAGATTGTGTCCGAGGCCACGTTGAACACCAGCCAGGTGGTGGTGGTCTGCTCTGAGAAGAAGGTTATTCCCACAGGAATGATGATTAGATTCCCCATCATCATGATGAGCATTATCAAGTCCCAGTAGAACCTGCGAGGAGCAACGCACACACAAGACACACACAAATCAGTAACGCAAGTGCAAAAACATGGAGACATTTAATTAGAAATAGTCCATAAAGCAGGAGAAGAATGAGCCGGTAACAATTGTAATTAACTTAAAACAGGTCAGACTCTACAAGTTTAAAACAAGTTATCAGGATGAATTGCAACCACATCTTTAGAAAGCATCCTGAGAGTATGAAGCTGTCCAGTTTTCTCATCAATGTTTTGTATCAGGCAGGGAATCAAAAAACAATGAGTACAGAGCAGGTGTTTGGTCAAACATAAAGAGAGATTTTGATTTAATGACGCCACAAGACAAGAACCTGGGTATCCTGATACTTGGGTGTCAGTCGGAGATATGTTTCTGTACCATTTCGTTTGTACAGATCACAATACCTGGTCTTTGTGTATCGGCTGACACAGAGTACCGAGAGGACACCAGTGCATTTAAAAAAATAAAATTTTATATGTATAACATATTTTAAAAGCTCTATGCTACTACCCCTGTATGGAAGTGATGATTGCTGTCATTCCTGAGGTTTCTTCCACCTTCTTTTTTTTTTGTGGGCAAGTTTTTCCTCACTCGAACCGAGGGTCTAAGGACAGAGGGTGTCACTCCCTGTACAGATTGTAAAGCCCTCTGAGGCAAAATGTGTTTAGTGAATTTGGGCTATACAAATAAAATTTGATTTGATTTGATTGCAACGCTAGTGAATCCCTGCTAAACTAAAGTCTTGCAGATGGCACACTCATTAACTTGTGGGGCATCATCTGATGCATTTCTGATTCTATTATTGGTATCTGAACGTCTCTGGTGCATCATCTGGGGAACATGATTTTTTTTTTTTTTTTAATTTGGATCATATTTTTGCCTCAACCAAAGTAGTTACCGAAACCCACAACCGTCTCTCAACTAACATGCCCAAAAAGAAATCCCAATTTTGTTATTATTGTGTGACTTATTTCCTGCTATAGCAAATGTTCTGTACATTAGATCACATATTGCTGAAACAAATTTCTGGTCTGCTATGCGTGGATGTTCCGAGTCTCTGAGGTCCTGACAAGCTGTCAAGGGGAGTTCTGACAACCTCATCTGCTTGTGTTGTTACCAAAAGTCCTGTCTGGCTGTGTTTATGTCCTTGCCCTCTGTTTGGTGATGAGCAGAGCCAGACGTGATTCATCAGGCATAAAGGCAGAGCAACCATGAATGAAAATAGAAGCTTTCAGGAATCCTATCTCATGCTAAAACCTCTCCACTGACGCCATCGCTGCCGCCTGCCTCTGCTCTGCCTCGTCGTCCGGTCGTGGCCTGTTGTCGAAGGTGGAAATGGACTGGCTAGTTGGCAGGCTGCCTGCCTGTCTGTCTGGCAGACTGGCCACCAAGTAATGGATCGTTTATGAAGTAAATTAAGCAGAGGCCTTGGATGTATAAATATCCACAGATCATGTGTCCGATAATCGTCTCTGCTCCATCTAAACAGAGGTCTGTGAGGTGGTTCTTGATATCCATAATCAGTATTTTTACACCAGCAGGCATCGAACTGAGGCCTGTGGAGTGGACTCTTCATATGGAGAGCCTTGACTTAACACCTTGAGCAGATAACATGATGCACTGAGGGATGCTCTTCATTCCTCCTAAGTGCACATGCTAGCAACATACAACATTTCAGTGTATTGTTACCCTTTAGTTTGACCTGCTGGGCTAATGCATAGACAGTATGTACGTGCAAGATAGTTTATACTTTTTATTATTTATATTTAAAAGTTGAATAAGGGGCTCTGAGTCAAAACATCTGCTAAAATCCATTTTATATAATCGCCTCACAAGATGCAACAATTCATATCTGAGGGGAACAAGAACACAGATACAGACGAACCCCTGATTATTAAGATGCTTTTAGAGATCTGCTCATTTGTATGAAATAATATAAAGATAGCTTCATTAGCCTGTGGTTAAACAGAGAGCTAACTTAGAATAAAGAAAACGACCTTTCAGAGTCAAAGTAAATCATTTAGAGAATCAAATATGAAAATGTACTATTTTATTTATTTTAAAACAGTGTAACAACACAAATAATATTTTATTATATTATTTAGTACACTGATTCAAAACCACAAGTGAGCAATAGGATAAATCAGTCATACCCTCATACCACTGCAGAATTCATCATCCTTATCTGTTAAATTACTGTTTCAAATCATGTAAATGGTGGATCTTTTCCTCACATATTACCATAATCAATTGCCCTGTGCTGAAAATGAGATCCCACTGAGTGCCCACATCTCTAAGTTATTTCTATTTCTCTCTAGGCTGAGGTAGGTGGTATACTGGCCTTAACCTCTGAGACACCCACTTATCTAATGAATAAAACATTATGTTTCTCTGTGTCTTGAATTAAAGCAGCAGAACTCGGAAGACGTTTGACTCAAATCAGACTTAAAAAACATGAAGATCAGATATTTGTGTGACGTTCTCATTGTGAAGCATTTCTAAATTACTTGCTGGTCAAAATCATGCCACTGCCTCCCAGCTCTACCACTGTGTCCAGTTCTCGCCACATCATTGTATCAGCCTCTTGCTCCAGTGCCCCTGTTCTCAGCATGCAGCCAGTCCCAGTTAAACCAGTCAGCTAGTGCAGTGAACCCAACTGTAACACGCATCTCCAGCACCAGCAATGCATTCAGTGACTACTCCTTCAGGTTTGACAGCTCCAGCAGCGCACCTTAAGCACTCCACTCATATTCACATGGTGATTCTCGCAGCACGCTTACCTCCACTTGTGCACCACAGGTCCCACCCCAGCTATGAAATTACATCGACAAGAGCTTTGCATTCTGCCGTTCTTTTTTTTTTTTTTAATCTATCTTGGGTTCAGCGTCAATTTGTGTATCTGCTCAGAAGCACAAGCGTCAGCTCTGATTGATAAAAGTGGGAGATGCAATCACTAGATCACTGTTCCCAAACACTGGGTGCTGCAGTATCGCTGCAGAGACAACACTGGGTCCTCTGGCTGATTTATACACCCTGTGAGAGCTGAGAAAAAATGAGCGGATGTTACCCCAATCACAGGTAAAAAAAAAAGCTTTCAAATGATAAGACCCAACCAAGAGGGAATAAAAGTTCCGTTCTTACAACTCAGCTCAATGAACTGAGCTAATGAAGGTGCTGGTTAATGCCATACAACAAAAAACCTTGAAGATAATTCATTCTGGTGGGTTTAGCACATATTTACACCAAAGATAACTGGCCACTCAATCAGCATATTGCATCAGATAAACATACAATGTGCACAGACATTTTCTGCAAACTGTTGACATAAAACTAATATTCCAATATGTTTGAAAAGGAAAATTTACAACCACATAATATCTGAATAAAGATCCCCCCCAAAACATACTTATTTTGATTCACAAAATCCAGATCATATCCAGATCCCAACAAAATGTAAACCTTTCATAGTACTTTTTTCAGAAAGATCTCAGCATTATTACTTGAATTGTTCAATAGGTATTGTTTTATCATTATAGCCATAATAATATAGTGACAATCTGATAACGTGGCAGCCCAGTGGTGGATTAATAAACCAGGCAGAGGAATCTCTATCATAATAATCCTGCTGAACATGAAGCCGGCCCGTTTTGTTCTCGTACGTTTCCTCCCAATACAACATAATCAATGCCCAACTACTCCTGCAAAGCAACGGAGGGAACCCCAAACGATCTTACTCAGCACAGCCTGACCTGTCCAATCTGCAACGTAATGGGTATAAACTGTGCTGCAGATGTCACATGTTGGAAAGAAATATCAGACAAGGACTAATTTATGTAATCATATGGTAAAGAAACATCTGCAACATCTTTCCCTGTAGATATCGAGACCAATACATTTACTTGCAAATGCTAAAAGGCTAAAACTAGCTGTAATTCACCCTTAAAACTTAGAACTAAGAAGAAGTTCTTATTGGAATAATTAAGTAGCAATATTACATTTGGACATCTATGCAGCTATTGCAGAAACTGTCTTTATTAATGGTTCTGGGGAGATTGCTGAGAATAAATTGCCTTTCCGTTTCCGGCAGAGTTAATAACAAGCACCAGAGAAAAATTTCAATGTCAAGCAAAACGACAACAACATGGCACTGCCCCTATGATGTGATGGCTGAAACAAACCCATGCGTCTATTCTGTGTGTGGGAGAGAAAACATCACTGAGTCTTTTCGACTGCCACAAAGGACACTGCTTAGCATAAACAGAGGTGTATGAGGCCGTGCACGAGGCCTCTCTAAAAATCTATGAATAATGAATATTACTAACTTGCCATTAATCTTTAAGCAGCCACTGTGTACGAAGAATATGTTGGATATTAAGTTTCAAACACTCCCACAAAGCAATATAAAGCCCATGTGGATAGTGGTGTCATTCATGGACAGTACTTGCGTAAGACTTTTCAGTAAGAGGACAAAACAGTTTTTAGTTTTTATCTTCTGGTCATGCAAAGTACAGCAATGAATACAGGCAGCACATGGTTATTCAATTATGCAAAGATTGCTAGTGATGCACACATAAAAGCCCCAAAAATAATTACGTTGTTAAGTCAAGCCCCACAGCAGAGAAACAGATTAACGTTTATGCTACAGTGGAAGGAGAGCTGCCAAGCAAAGTGGACCCTTGCACCTCCATCATCTATGCACCAGCATGACAGAGAGCTCAAAGCAGTAGGACACAACCTCGCAGTACCACTCTGGAGTCAGGATGCAGACTCTGATAGATATATACGAGGGTATTTACGAGGGTTGTGTCTTCACTAGAGGAAGAGGAGCTTCTCTTTCCCCTACCTCCCCTACCTTTTCTGATTGTCCTGTTCTTGTTTTGTCTGAATGTGTGTCTGAATTTTAGTTTGATCTGATTGAACAACATGGAAACAATTTTTTTTAACCCCTTCATACCCCTTGTAGGAATTTACTGCCTCATCTGCCTTCCCTGCTTATATTTCATATTTTGTTTTTGGCACATTTGAACATAGCTCCAATTGATTGAAACAATAATTAATAACTGAAAAAAGGTAGGCATTATCAGTGAAGAGTTCTGGCCCTACCCTTGGCCATCTTTCAGAAGGGGGGGTCAAATCTCCTTACATAATTGTTTTCAGACTGCTAAGGTCATTGACTGTTGTGTTGTGCTACTAATCCATGCCCACCATCATAGTACATCTGTGTGTGCACATGGGCATGTGCATATGTCTGTGTTTTTTGTGTGGGTGAGCTCAGGATATCCCTATTAGCAGTACTTTGTGTGTAGTCATATGGGAATTGCAAGTGAACACTGAAGCAGTTGAAAGTTTGGAGCTGAGCATTGTGTGGTATTATAAACATATCGATGTGATCTACTCATCGTTTTTTGCACAGAGCTACAGTTATGAAGCGGTGGTGAAAGAGTGAATTCAACTTTTAGGGCACGTGTGCTCCTGATGCAGGGTGAAGACTCAGTGCTTAAGGCCTGCTCTAAGTTCAGCACCACGGACAGCTCTGTGCTATGTTCCCTGGCACGTTGCTACAGCAGAGAACTGGAGGGGGTGACTGTCACCGCCGTGCTGAGCCGAGCTGAGCCGTGCCAGGGGACACTGGTGCACAGACTGATGCTTAATTGGTTAAGTGGTGAACTGTAAACACGCAGCTTGTGGAGAACTAGTCCTGTCTGAACCTGATCTCATTTGTTTACCATCTGAACGCAGTCACTGTGCCACAAATGACTAGCAGGTTTCACTTCTTTCTCTTGTGGATTATCAGAGCTTCTCTCAGCAGGACAGTGCACAGTAGGTTTATTCTGCTGAAGGAAACACATGCCAAATAGAAAAAGAAAGAAAGAAACAGTGATAATGTCCCTGTGGCATTAAGAGGATGCCAGGGAAGCAAGTGTGGCATGATGCTTTCTGCAGCTCCAAACAAACACATTCCACCACATTTCCTCAGCAGGGCAGCTGCACAAAATGAAAACAACCCACCACTCATGCTTGCACCAGTGCTGTCAAACAGATCCGAAGATCAGTTTCAACTAATGCATTCAAAACACGGCCATTTTCCCTTTAAATTCTTCCCCTGCACGTTTTTTTTTACCGCATTCTGAGCATCTTTTGTTTTGCACACAGGCCCATGGTTTTACCGCCGCCTATGAGATGTTTACAACCCGTGATGGTGCAGTGGCACTGTCACGTTGTGTCCAGGTACTGTCGCCCCGATATACGAGAGCCAAATATGTCGCAATGAAGAGACGGAGCTGACTCTGTGTCTGCTCGTGTGCGCGTGTGAAGCCTGGGCTTGTGTGCGCGTCTTTTTCCTCCAAACCACTGACATTCACCGGGCTTTTTCCAAGGACATCTCACTCGCACACCTTTGTAGCCTCAACACATTCCTCTCTTATTATAATAAAAATGCCGCAATGGAACGCACACACGCGGACGCACACGTACATTTTGACAGTGGAGCCCTCAGCCTGCGGAAGCCTGATTGCTTAAATACAGGAGGTAGATTATGCGTAAGGGGCTTTGGAGGGAGGGGGCGATGACAGAGCGGTATGTGTGAGAGTGTATGGACCCCAGGGGTGACGGGAGGGGTGGATAAAAAGGGGTGAGGAGGAGAAAGGGGGGAGTTTTTTTTCTAGCCCTTACCTAAAATCGCTATATGGATGAATGATCCAGTATCCGGCCGTTTGGACCCTCTCCTGCTCTTTCTCCACGGCTTTCTGACTGCCGAACATACGCAGGGAGAACTTATTGACTCCGGGCTGCATCATGGCCCCAAATTGCCGCTGCATGAAACCGTGTTGCCTGGACGCCCCCTCCAGATCGTCAAAGCCCACCATGGCCTCTTCGCGCTCCCCCTTGAAGCCCACGGAGTTGCCGTGGTCCTTCATGTTCTGGCTGCCCGTGTTGTTCTTCTGTATGGAGTCTTGCCTCTGAAAAACATTATTCCCATCCGCCTTCTCCTCCTTGTTGCTGGAGAATGAATTGGATTTGTCTTCCATGGTGCCTTTAGTTTTCCCGTTGTTTCTGCTTTGAGACGAGGCAGGGCAGGCGGAACGTCTCCGGCTCCGGCTCGGGAGGGCTGCGCGTAAAAACTGGAGAGGACGCGCCGCGAGCTCTCCTGTTTCTCTCCGTTTTTTAGTGTCCTTCAAAAGTGTTCGGCTCCTCTGTGCCTTCACCGCTCAGTGCTGCAAACTGAGACAGAGTGCCCGAGAGCCCGCTGGATCAGGTTTCTTGGGTTACCGCCATCTACCGACGGCCCCGGCTTCTGGCGTCCAAAGCCTCTCTCCGCCTGTATAGTCTCACTTCGCACGGCACTGCGGTTTAACTGGCACATGCTCCTGCACCTTATTTACATAATGTGGCTCATGATAGCCCCCCTCCCCCCTCTTCTCCACTGTCATCACTTTCACACATGGCAGGTGAGGGCCAACACTGTAGGAGCAGAGTGAATGTATTTATGTATTTCAGTGGTACATATAGTTAATGAGACCTGTTTTCTTTTTTGAATCATATCATGCAGCATGTGCAGCTTCCTGGCAGGTTGTGCTTCCTGCAGAGGAGTGATAATAGAAGACAACACGGTGAAACAGATTGTTAACGTCGGTGTGATCTTAGAGATGGTGCCGCTGGTCATGTGAGAGAAGTTGGAACATCTTGAGGATATCACACCTTCTCAAGGTGTTGCAGATACGATCCAACATGTAGAGTGTGAATGCACTATATGGTTGCAAGCTGGATGCATTGCAACTACTACAAAGAAATGTGGACGTGTATGTGCATGTACTCAAAGTTATGATACACATTAGGTATTATAATAATTTAAGTTACTTATAGAGCTGTGTGATTTACATTTAACAGGAATAATCCCACAGCATTATTGCCCACTTTAGGAATTAGGATTAATACATCATTGTTTTATTATCTTTTATACGCTCACACCAAACGCAATGCAAACTTTACGCTCAATGAGATTACAAAGTCAAAGGAAATGCTTCTCTCACTCAAGGCGAAGTGGTTTCGCCATTTATGACAACCGCTTGAGCTGGACCCACACAAATCGCACTGGCTTCTCTGGTGTTTCCACAACAGATACAACGCAGCAACTGTGATCACTCCAACCAGTAGCCCAGAGGAGAACAGGCCCAGAGGACAACAGGCAAATACTCACAGGTTGTGTTTATTCACATTTTCTAGCTAAGAGTACAACCTTATGTTTTAAAGAGAAGTTGTTGCCTCCAAATTACCCACAGCCAGAAGAACTGGAGCACACCCCCAACCAAGAATAGTGGGTTACATCTGCAAGAACCATGAATTATTCTCGGTGAAATTGGTAAAACTCTCGAAAAAAATCTTGCAATGTTAAACGAAATGAATCACATCCACATCAAATGTTAACGGGTTCTTCCCTGACTCACATCCTTCCACCAAGGTGGAAACAATTCAGTAGCTTTTGAAGATGCCGCTAACTAACATAACCCTCTTGATGGATGAAATTAGATGATGCCAAATGTCTTGCAGAATGCATTATGACCAACTACTCTATTACACCACTGGCTGCAGCCCCTCAGACGTTTGGCCAGACATTTATAATTGAATTATGGGATTTATTGCTGTTTTGAGAAACCAGCTCTTATTTGGGGCACCAGTCCAAAATAAATGAAGATGGATGGCTCCCGAAAACAGACCCAGCCAGAGGAAGAGGAAAGAAAATCTTAGAGGGAGGTGAATTTGATTCACAAACACACACATAAAAAACTGAACTGGGAGAAAATAGCAGAGGAGTGAAGTGTTGGAGGAGGACACTTATTATGGAGAACGGTGACAGCAGAAGGACAGTGCAAAACACCAGAAGCTGTTGAGTGTTGACTTGGTGATTACAACATCAACAACTTAACACTCGTATGAGTAATATGAGTCTAGAGACTTCTAAACCCTTCCAGCTATAGTTGAATTTAAGATTTAAAAACTAGACTGCAATTAATCCTAGTTGATATTAATTTAAAAAGTGGAGGCATACAGTTCTTACCTGTGCAAACTGTGGCTGGTGCTTTATTGAGTGGAAACTGGAGTTAGTAATTATTATTTAAGCTCTGACGGCTCCCTGTTGGAGCTCCTCCACCATGATGAACTCTATCTCTTAAATAAATATATATATATATATATATTATTGTGGATTGACTCTCTGATTGACTCTCTGATCTGAGTTCTTCCCTGACTCATACCACAACCTTCCACTAAGTTTCATGCTAATCCAAACCAGTTGTTTTGTGTAATCTTACAAACAAACAAACAATCAAACAAACGGACAGATGGTGAAAACATAACATCCTTAGCAGATGTAATAATAAGACGTAGCTCTTAATAATATCTTGCATCATGGGATGACGAGGAGCAGAAGTGATACGAGCGCACAGAGCTGTTTCTCTGCAGGAATACCCCAGTTTATGCTCGCTCCACGGTGGCTTCGTTGCAGTGCCACATGCCACAAAAACCCATCTGCTCTGGACATACAGCACAGACTTCACTGCTAACATGCAGAGCGTTTTGTGAAAGAGCTGGAGTCACCACAGATTCTTCAGGGAAATCCTCTGCTGCCCCTTCTGTGAGGCAAATACTGCATGAATGTGTATTACTAATCTCAAGCCACTGCACCGTCTTTCACATGGAGCTGTGGTATCAGCTAATATTTAAAAGACAAACTTGTATCCAGCATATATACACGGATACATTGTGCAATACTGTGTGTATGTATGTGTGTGTGTATATATACATATGTACGCATATGTATACATGAAGTACATGAATGCATGTCTGTTATATTTATATTAGTTATGTACATATATCCGTGGGCCAGTGATGAATTGTAAGTACTTTCAAACATGCTTTTTTTCTACAAGGAACATTTAATTATTCTGAGAAATCAACGGAAATTTTGAAAAGCAAAGCAAAATTTAATGGAAAAGGTTTTTGAGTAATTTTGCCAACAAACAAAAAAACACCAGACAAAAACATAACCTCATTGGTGGAGGTCATAAAAATGAACTTCACTATGAAAACTGCTTCTCATGTATGTATTAGTATGAATAATATCACATTTCTCTATTGAGTCCTTGTACTTGTAATACTTAAAGAATAATTTGCTGATAGTACATTTTATGTCAAGACTGATCACAGAAGAGGACCCACATGGGGACAGTTCCAAAATTCTAAGTCTAAGTCTTTAATTTGACTCACCGTGTATGTGGTGAACAGGTCAGGCAGAGGTATCCAAAACATAGAGGCAAAGGTCAAAACACTTTGGCACTGACACACTGACAGAAAACTCACAGACAGGTGAGACTGGTTCAGAACAGACAAACACACTTAACACACAGGTGAGGCCTAACACGTGGGAAGCTAATCAGGAAGAGAGGGAAGGAAGTGAACAGATCTGAAATGAGAAACACAGATAACTACAAAATAAAACAGGAAGTGAAATTAACTCAGGCCCAAAACCAAACGGAAGATATATTTATACATACATAAATACATATTTTTTTTATTTATATTTTTTTGACTTATTACTTATCCTTATTCTTAGTATATATAATTTTATTGCATAGCTTTCCAGTCATTGCTCTGGCACATTAGATATCTTGTCTATTTCTCTTTACACAAAAGTATTTATATTTCCCTGAAGTCTTTTCTACTTAATATTTTTTTCATGCACATTCCATGTATGTTAAAAACCTACTTGGCAATAACTGTGATTCTGATTAAATTGTGAAGTCAGAGAGCACCAGTGAGTAATGCTGCTGTGCCTCTTTCTACACTGTGGCATGACAGACCCACGCCGAACCCACGCGTGCACTCTGTCTTTTCGTGGCTGCACAAAACAGCAGCTGGCTGCGCACAGACATTAGCTTGGATATTTTGCATGTTTGGCAGTGGATTATTATGTAATGATCCGAATGTTATTCTAATTAAAACAGACATTCCTTGACTTTTTGTGTGTGTGTGTGTGTGTGTATGTGTGTTTTCTCCCTCAGCTGGGTTTGTGTTGAGTTGGATTAGCTTGCATGCCAACTGTTTCCCCTACACAGGGCTTGTGTAACTTCAATTACACAGTTAATAGGGCAGGGAGGGGGGGTACTGAGATAGAACAAAAATGTTGCATAAGATTTATGGCTTAAAGTAATACTGATATTGAACAAAGTGCAAGTGCCAGATGGCCCATTCACATGTCTGGGAATAAACAACAAGAACAACCGTACAGGGTAGAGGACGTGCGTCACAGGAGATGGTAAAGCTTTATTTTGATTTGGCCAATTCTCTTCATTGGTTCCTTGTGTGTTAAGTACGTCTGATACTTCAGGATCACCCCTGAACAAGTAACCACAGGGTGTGATGACCTTAATTACGACGCTGTTTCCTCAAACACATTTTTCATCATAGTCAGTGGATGCCTGGGATTTCTAATCTCATACATTTTGCGTATTTACATCTAACACTTGAATAAACTGTATGTTGATCAGGTTTAAGTGGCTGGGTCTTAATCCTGCCTCACAATATAATACAGAATATCCAGAAAAGAACATTCAGCCCCAATGTCCTGCTCCCTTCTGCTGGGTAAAGTAATGAGTTCCTGATTCTTCTGATGGTCCCATTGGCTCCGCTGATATTGCATTGTGTCTCTAAGATTACATCCAGTCATCTCCCCTTACAGTCAATACCTCATCTGGACATGAAACATTACATACTCCTGCACTGCCAGCCATTTCTTATGCCACAAATAGCATCAGCCCGCTAAAGGATGGAGGCATAATGTTACAATGCCCCCCCCTTGACCCCTTTTCATTTTCTGCAAGTCATTCAATGTATAGTTTCTCCTTCAAGAGACAATATTTCTGGTCTCAATATCTTTAAGGCAGAATGTAGTGCAAATCTTGTAGTCACAACAGGTAAAAAAAATAATTTCATTATTTCTTTAAATTGAATAAATCTGTTCTGGTGGTTTATTAGATTTTTTTTTTTATCACACTCATAATATGGTGAATGTTGCATGTTAACATTTCCTCTCTTGTAAATCACCTGAGACAAAGATCAATAGCGGACACAAATTAAAAATACAAATCTTCCACCTCCCGGGCCCAGACATGACTACTAATTCACTTGTCCTCTTTGGACTCATGTACTTTAACTAAACCATGATTGGGGCTGGGGAAGATGGTAGTGTTGTAATAGGATTGCGAGCTTTGGTC